AAAATGCATGCTGATATGATAGCTTTCATAATACAATCTAACAACATTGTTTCCAATGAAGTTAAAGACAACTAAGCGCTACTAGAGCCATCTTACGGAAAAGACCGAATGAACCTTTTGGCCAGCCCAATAACACATCTCCTGGCACCTCGCGTGCAGCTACTGATCTGGCAAATGCCTTTTTCTCCACCCTGTCAAGCAGTCTGCTTTCAGCTGTCAAAGCCAACAACAGACCTTTCCGATGCTACCTCAGGGATACATCAACTCTCCAGCCCAATGTCATAATTTAGTTCTCAGGAATCTTGATCACCTTTCTCTCCCACAAAGCTATCACTATGGTCCACTGCATTGATGACATTAATCTAATCAGACCTAGTGGGTAAGAAGTAGCAACTACTCTAGATTTGGTAAGACATTTGCATGCCAGAAGGTGGGAAATAAATCCAACAAAAATTCAGGGACCTTCCACCTCAGTGAAATTTCGAGGGGTCCAGGGGTAAGGGGCATGTCAAGATATTCCTTCTTGACATGCGATGCTGTTTGGAGCATTTGACAGCCCCCTGTAGGTGAACTGCAGTGCAGGCCCTTAGGATTTTGGAGCAAAGCCCTGCCATCCCCTCCAGATGACTACTCTCCTTTTGAGAAACAGCTCTTGGCCTGCTACTGGGCCTTAGCAGAGACTGAACGCTTGACCAAGGACTCCCAAGTTGCCATGTGACCTGAACTGCCCACCATGAACTGGGCATTACCTGACCCACCAAGGCACATAGTGCACGGCGGCGCTCCATCATCAAATGGAAGTGACATATACATGATGAGGCCTGAGCAGGTCCTGAAAGCACAAGTAAATTACATGAAGATGTGGCCCAAAGGTCCATGGTCCCCACTCCTGCTGCCCCTTCTCTCTCCCATCCTGCACCTATGGCCTCATGGGGAGTTCTCCATGGCAGCTGACAGAGAAAGAGAAAACTCTGGTCTGGTTTACAGATGGTTCTAGAAGCACAATATGCAGGCACCACCCAAAACTGGACAGCTGTAGCACCATAGGCCCTTTGGGGACGTCCCTGAAGGACAGTGGTGTGGGCAGAACTTCAGACAGTGCACCTGGTTGTTCACTTTGCTTGGAAGGAGAAATGGCCAGACACGTGATTATATACTGATTTACGTGTCCAATGGTTTGGCTGGATGGTTAGGGACTCAGAAGGTACATGATTGGAAAATTGGTGATGAGGAAATGTGGTGAAGAGATATATGGGCAAAAAACCATGAAGGTATTTGTGTCCCACGTGAATGCTCACCGAAGGGTAAGCTCAGCAGAGGAAGATTTTAATAATGAAGCGGAAAGGATGACCCATCCTGTGGATGCCAGTCTCTTTCCACAGCCAGCCCAGTCATCACCCACTTGGCTCATGAATGAAGCAGCCATGGTGGCAGGGGTGAAGGCAATGCACAGGCTCAGCAACACGCACTTCCACTCCCCAAGGCCAACCTGGCCGTGGCCACTGCTGAGTGCCCAACCTGCCAGCAGCAGAGACCAACACCTAGTCGTTGATACAGCACCATCCCCGAGACGATTTGCTAGCTACTTTCCGGCCTGTTGACTATACTGGACAACTTCCATCATGGAAGGAGTACCATTTTGTTCTTCCTAGAATAGACACTTACTCTGGATACAGATTTGCCTTCCCTGCACACAGTGCTTCTGCAAGAACTACCATCAGTGGACTTGCAGAATACCTTATCCACTCCCATGGTATTCCACACTGAAATGCTTGACCAAGAACTCACTTCACACATTAAAAAAAAAAAGAACTTCACAGCAAAAGAAGTGCAACAATAAGCCCACACTCATGGAATGTACTAGTCTTAACATGCTCCCCACCATCCTGAGGCAGCTGGTTGGATAGAACAGTGGAACGGCCCTGTGAAGACTCAGTTACAGTGCCAGCTAGGTGGCAATACCTCTCAGGGCTGCGGCCAGGTTCTCCAGGAGGCTGTATATGCTCTGAATCAGTGTCCAATGCTACAGTGCTGTTTCTCCCATAGCCAGGATTCACGGATCCAGGAATTGGGGTGGAAATGGGAGTGGTACCACTCACTCTAACCCCTAATGACCCACTAGCAAAGTTTTAGCTTCCTGTTCCTGTGACCTTATGCTCTGCTGGCCTACAGGTCTTAGTTCCAGAAGGAGGAATGCTTCCACTAAGAGATATAACAATGATTCCAATAAGCTGGAAGTTAAGAGACCCACCCGGCCACTTTGGGCATCTCATGACTGAATCAACAGGCAAAGAAGGGAGCTACTATGCTGGCTGGAGTGATTGATCCTGGCTGCCAAGAGGAAATTGGACTATCCACGATGGAGGTAAGGAGGAATATGTGTGGAATACAGGAGATCCCTTAGACATCTCTTAGTATTACTGTGTCCTATGATTAAGGTCAATGGAAAAGTACAATCCAACCCAGGCATGACTACTAATGGTGCAGACCCTTCAGGAATGAAGGTTTGGTCATCCTACAAGTAAAGAATGATGATGACCATCTCAGGTGCTTGTTGAAGGCAAAGGCAATACAGAATGGGTAGCGGGAGAAAGTAGTTATAAATACCAGCCACGTGGCCAGTTAGAGACATGAGGATTGTAACTGTCATAGAGGATTTCCTCCTTATTTTGTTATGATTGTGTGGGAGTATCTTTGTCTTCTTTCCTCTCTTATTTCCTTACCATGCAACATAAGATGTATTGACTTTAAATCATAATATTTAAGTATTGTTAATTCTACATCATACTGTTTAAGTTAGAGGGTGACAAGGAGAGTAAACATCACTCAAGGACTTTACCTCCTCTTCTGAGGAAGGGGCTAGTGCATTTTCAGTTGTATGGAGAGTTGTGTTGTGTCAGGTGGAATTAAGCCTTTGTGTTTTTTTTGTTTTTTTTGCGGTACACGGGCCTCTCACTGTTGTGGCCTCTCCCGTTGCGGAGCACAGGCTCCAGACGCACAGGCTCAGCGGCCATGGCTCACGGGCCCAGCCTCTCCGCGGCATGTGGGATCCTCCCGGACCGGGGCACGAACCCGCGTCCCCTGCATCGGCAGGCGGACTCTCAACCACTGCGCCACCAGGGAAGCCCAACCTTTGTTATTCTTTACTTGGAGATTAGTATGGTTTAAGGAGATATGTATGAGTGTCAACTTGACAGGGGGTGGACTTGTGATGGTTAATTTTATGTGTCAACTTGACTGGGCAACAGGGGTGCCCAGATAACTGGCTAAAAATTATTTCTGGGTGTGTCTGAAGGTGTTCCAAGAAGAGATTAGCATTTGAATTAGTGGACTGAGTAAAGAAGACAGCCCTCCCCAGCGTGGGTGGACCTATCAAATCCATTGAGAGCTGAATAGAACAAAAAGGTGGAGGAAGGCTGAGTCCACTCTCTACCTGACAACTTGAGTTTGGACATCAATCCTTTACTCTCAGCGCTCCTGGTTCTCAGGCCTCAGACTCAGCCTAGATCTACACCATCAGCTTTCCGGGTCCCCTTGGCTCTGTTTCTCTGGAAGACACTGACTAATACACCCTCTTTAACAGCTCTCATGGAGAGTCTATGTGAAAGTAAAACCAACACAAAATACAAATTAAGAGATGGAAATAGATTTCTCGTGATGATCCATGAGTGCCTGGACCCAACTTGCCTGAGGTATTACACGCCCTGAGTTTCTAGTACTATGAATCAGTACATTCCTTTTCTTTCTCTTCAGCCACTTTTAGTTCAGTTTTCATCACTTGCACAAATTGCAATACAATGAGAACACACCATTCTGAACCTATGTATTTCACTTAATGTATCGTTATCATATTTTCATATGATTAAAACTATTCTCCAACATTATTTTGTGTGGTATTATAGTTTATTTTTATCAAGCCCATAGTGGTGAACAGATACATTGTTATTAATTTTTCAATATTATAGATAACATTGATATTAATATCCTCATAGCTAAATGTTTGTGCCTATCATGATTGTTTCCTGAAAATAAATTCCTAGAACTGGAACTTCTGGGCCAAAAGTTATGGAGGATACTAAGACTTTGTTACATATAGTAAAAGCGACCCCTCGAAAGGTGATGCCAATTTATTCTCGCACCAGAAACATATGGGAATGCCTATTTCCTCCATCCACTGCCTACAGTGGGTAGGATCTTTCTTAAAATCTCTGCTAAGTTAATCACATACACACAAAAGTGATATCTCATTTTACTCTGCATTTCTTTACTGAGTCGCCTGCCTTGTATAGATTTTTCAATATTGTGCTAGATTGTTAACATTTAGGAATCCTGCATCTATATTCTGAAATTGGTTCTTCTGGTATTCTATTTTCTCAGGCTTATCAGGCTTTTTTCTAGCTTTATAAAATAAGAAATACAGAGGTTTGAAGACGGACAAACCTGAGATGGAGTCTAAATTCCATGATTAGATGTATAACTTTGGGCAATTTAATCTTCCTAACCCTGAATAGGGGTGCCCACTGGGAAAGGAGCCAATTAAACCTCACAGAACCTGGAAAGGCTCAGCCCTTGGAGATTCTAGGTACCACAAAAACCGCAGGTGAGCCATGAGGCTAAAATGAGGAGGTGCTTGGACATGTGTTACTGAGGGATCAGACCACTACCTTCCCTCATGTTCCATATTTGCAGGCTGGCACCTTCTGTACAAGAGACGGGAAGTTTACCTTATGAAGAAATGAGATGCTCCAGATGTGGGGAGACCAGGTAGAGTAGAGGAAGTGGGGTGAGGGATGGGACTGAACATAGGGAGATTAAGTGAAACTTAACACTGAACGGTGGGGACCCCAGTCCTTCCCCAACCAGCTTCTCGAATTGTAAGCAGCTCATAACAAAGCAGGAGACGGGGCAGTTCTTTTCTGCAGAAGGAAACTGCTCCAGAGGAAAGCCCTCCCTGCTCTAACACTTAAGTGTATTCCCAATAACAGAGCCCTTTCACTTACCAGTTTCCCTGTGTGAGGTCCGTGTGTCCACAACCCTGCCCACGTACTCAGAGCCTCCAGAGTTATAATGCTGCACACCTGTGTGAAGAGATAGCCAAGAAACATAAGACATTTGAAGAGAAAACAAATATGAGAATTTTTATTTTTTATTACAACATTTTTATTATAACTTCTTAATTATATATATTGTATATAATTATATAACATAAATGTATTATAACTCATTCTTTTAACTTTACTATAATTTATATTACGACACTATAACAAAAAGAAAGAGTCAACTGAAATAATTTAGGGGGAGAGGAGACGCAGAATAAACCCTTTAAAACACCCCTCTTTATTTTTTTAATTAATTATATTTATTTTTAGCTGCGTTGGGTCTTCGTTGCTGCGCGCAGGCTTTCTCTAGTTGCAGCAAGCAGGGGCCACTCTTCATCGCGGTGCGCGGGCCTCTCACTATCGCGGCCTCTCTTGTTGCAGAGCACAGGCTCCAGACACGCAGGCTCAGTAGTTGTGGCGCACGGGCTTAGTCGCTCCGCGGCATGTGGGATCTTCCCAGACCAGGGCTCGAACCCGTGTCCCCTGCATTGACAGGCAGATTCTCAACCACTGCGCCACCAGGGAAGCCCCTAAAACACCCTTCTTGACAGAGGTGAACACTTGTCCCCTTCTCCTGATATTTCTTTGATGAGGAAGAAAGTTAATCCATGCAAAAATGACATATCTCATTGGTAATTATGGGAAGATTAAAAGGGAACCCTTGACTCAGCTCCACCATTTTTTTCTTCTTGGGAGCCAGTGGGCCTACAGGGACCATGAGTTCTCCATCACTGCCCTCCAAACTTTTAGTTGTACAGAGAAGGGTGGAAGACTCAGTTTAGGACTGCGTTCTGATTACTATTGCTTTATAACAAGTTAACCCAAGGGAACTATACTCAGTTTTGTTTTGTTTTGGCCACACCACGTGGCTTGTGAGATCTTTGACCAGGGATCGAACCTGGGCCCTTGGCAGTGAGAGCACAGGGTCCTAAACACTGGACCGCCAGGGAGTTCCCTATACTCAATATCTTATAATAACTTACAATGAAAAAGAACCTGAAAAAGAATATATATATAACTGAATCACTTTGCTGTATACTTGAAACTAACACAGAATTGTAAATTTACTATACTTCAATAAAAATAAATAAATCAAATAAATATGAATATAAAGATGTGTATATGTATGTATGTATATATATAACAAGTTAACCCAAAACATAAAGGCTTAAAACAAACATTTTCTTTTGCTCCCAGATTCTGTGGGTCAGAGATCCAGACGGGGCCAGCAGAAAAGGCCCGTTTCCGCTGCATGACCCCTGGGGCCTCAGCTGGGAAGGCTCCAGGGCTGGAAGGCCTGACTGCTGGAGGCTGGATTCACATGGAGGCGCCTTCACTTCCATGTCTGGTGTATAAGGCTGACTGTCTGCTGTGACCTCCGCTTGGAGCTATTGATCGTAGCACCTACACGTAACCTCTCACTATGGCCTGGGCTCAGACTTCTTACCTTACAGCTCAGGGCTCCAAAACCAAGTGTTTGGCAAACAAGGTAGAAGCTGCAAGCATTTATTCTTGGCCTCAGGATTCACACATTCATCATTTCCATCACACTCTATTGATTACAAGGGAGTTACAAACCCGCCGAGGTTTGGGGCAAGGGAAAGACATAGATCCGCACCTTTCAAAGGATAGTCTCACAGAATTTCTGGGTATCTTCTAAAACTGCCTCAGGGCATAATCTTAAAGACCGTAACATCTGATGCAAGGGACAAAAACATTAAAGAAATAAATGAGGAGGGGCTTCCCTGGTGGCGCAGTGGTTAAGAATCGCCTACCAATACAGGGGACACGGGTTCGAGCCCTGGTCTGGGAAGATTTGCCGTGGAGCAACTAAGTCCGTGCACTACAACTACTGAGCCTGCGCTCTAGAGCCCAAAAGCCACAACTACTGAGCCCGCGTGCCACAACAACTGAAGCCCGTGCGCCTACAGCCCGTGCTCCCCAACGAGAAGCCACCGCAATGAAAAGCCCGCGCACTGCAACAAAGACCCAACGCAGCCAAAAATAAGTAAATAAATATTTTAAAAAAAGAAAGAGGGCTTCCCTGGTGGCACAGTGGTTGAGAGTCCGCCTGCCGATGCAGGGGACACGGGTTCGTGCCCCGGTCTGGGAAGATCCCACATGCCGCAGAGCGGCTGGGCCCGTGAGCCATGGCCGCTGAGCCTGCGCGTCCGGAGCCTGTGCTCCGCAACGGGAGAGGCCATAACAGTGAGAGGCCCGCGTACCGCAAAAAAAAAAAAAAAGGACTTACTCTTTTATAAAATAAATCACTGAATATATATATAGTGTTGACGCTGTGGCCTGAGCAGGAGTGGTGACATTTTTGGAACATGAATCGGTGAAACCTTCATGATGTTACCGGCTTTCCATGCCACTTTTTGATGTTGGGTGGAGACCACAAAACTGCTCACAGATTAGTGCTTTAGAGTGGATTTGTGGAAGAGAGATTTAGAAAACCGCACTCAAAATACACCCCCCAAAACATACTGGTTAACTATTGTCACTGCCCACAAAAATGTTTCCAGATGCCAGGAACTATGGGAAAGACAACAAACATTACTATGAAATTAACATAAGCTAGTTGGCCAGTGGACAGGTGCTCTCTACCTAGTGATGAAAAAGATTTGGAATATTATCTGTGAACAAATACAATTGGCATGGGAGAGGCCACATCCCAAAAAAGGAGACCTACTTCTTTTTTTATTGAAGTATGGTTGATTTACAATGTTGTGTTAATTTCTGCTGTACAGCAAAGTGATTCAGTTAAACATACATATATTCTTTTCCATTACGGTTTAATCACAGGATATTGAATATAGTTCCCTGTGCTATGCAGTAGGGCCTTGTTGTTTATCCATCCTATATATACTAGTTTGCATCTGTTAACCCCAAACTCCTAATCCTTCTCTCCCCCACCCCCCTCCCCCTTGGCAACCACAAGTCTGTTCTCTATGTCTGTAGTCTATTTCTGTTTCGTAGATATGTTCATTTGTAAGAAGACCTACTTTAAAGTAGTTCCTCTAGGACAGCTGGTGGACAGAACTGCCTTGCCACCCCTCCTAAGCTTAGCAGGCAGGCGCCAGGGCAAAACCTCACCACCGCCAAGCCCCCTCCAAAACCAAAACACAAACAAACAAAAAACCCACCACAGTTGTCCAGAAAAAAAGAAAACCAGAAAATTTCTACTTCAGTTATATATAAGGGGGAAAAAAGAAATATTAAATAGTGAGCCAAAGTGAAAATATAAGGCCAGTCACTGGGCAGTCTTCCCATACCCAAATGCAGTGGCTTTTAAACTAACAGACTCACCCAGAGAGGTTCTAGAAATAGGGAAAAAGCCAGGAGATGCCAGGCTCCCGCCCCTGAGAGGAGAAGGTCCCAGCAATTAAGAAAAGAGTACCATCTGGAAAAGGACCCTAGGAAGATAGTGAGAAATCCACATCCAAACTCACACAGATCCTGGGCTGCCTGGGGAGAACACCGCTCACAGGCTGGCACATTGTTTTAAGTCACTATCTCTTAGACCCAGATCACAGGCACCCAGGTGCTCCAGCCTACAGACTGTGTCACTGTCTTACCCCTTGCATTTTCCAGGATTCTTTATATTCATGTAACAGAAAGTCAGTTCAAAGTGGTTTTTAAAAAAGAAAAATCTCTTTGTGACTTCCCTGGTGGCACAGTGGTTAAGAATCCTCCTGCCAGTGCAGGGGACACAGGTTCGAGCCCTGGTCCGAGAAGATCCCACATGTCACGGAGCAACTAAGCCCATGCACCACAACTACTGAAGCCCACGCCCTAGAGCCCATGTACCACAACAAAGAGTAGCCAGCCCCCGGTTGCCACAAGTAGAGAAAGCCCGCGTGCAGCAACAAAGACCCAATGCAGCCAAAAAAAAGGAAATGACAGGACTTCCCTGGCGGTCCCGTGTTTAGGACTCCATGCTTCCACTGCAGGGGGCATGGGTTTGATCCATGGTCGGGGAACTAAGATCCCGCATGCTGCGTGGTGCAGCCAAAAAAGATAAAAAAGGAAAAGACATTGATGACATTGATTCGTTCCTGTAATTTGAAAAGTCAGGAGCAGTCATGTGGCTGGATCAAGGGGTTCAAACAGTATCATCAGGTCTCAGTCTCTCTCTCTCCCTCCACGACCCAGCTTTGCTTTCCTCTATGTTGGCTTTATTCTCTGTTAGGGTTTCTCTAAGTGGAGTGCACTGCAGTCAACAGGGCTATAGTCTACAAGCTTGGGAGCCATGGTGGAAACACAGAGACTTCATTCTCTGCATTTCCATCCAAGTCCCAGAAGTAAGCATCTTTGGCTCTGATTGGCCCAGCTTGGGCCATGTGTCCACCTCTTAACCAATCACTGTCCAAGAGGATATGATACTCTCCTTGACTGGTGTTCAATGGGTCACTTATCAGTAGACAAGGATCAAAATCATTAGGCAACCTGAGATTCACCAGCAATCCATAGTTGATTAAGGGCAACAAGAGTCAACACACACACACACACACACACACACACACACAAAACACACACCCAGGAATCTCTGGCAGACTGAGCAGACTTTCAGATTTTGCTCTCCTCAAGATAATAATGACAAGTACTAACCCATTACACTTAAAAAGCTTCCCTGAGGAGTCTGGAGTTATTATGAGCTAATACATGCAAAAAAGCACTTAGAAGAATGACTGGCCCAAAGTAAATACTACAGAACTGTTAACTGTCATCGTGGAAGAAGGATCCTGGAGACGGAAAAACATCCTAATAGGCAGGGTGGAGGTAAAGAATAGTTTAATCTAAATATTGAAAGGAGGGACTTCCGTGGTGGTCCAGTGGTTGAGACTCCACACTTCCACCACAGGGGGCACAGGTTCGATCCCTGGTCTGGGAATAGGATTCCCTGGTCCGGGAATAGGATCCTGCATGCCATGCAGTGGTGTGGCCAAAAAAAAAAAAAAAATTGAAAGGGGTGTAACCTAATTTTGTAACAAACTGGTAAAACAGGATATATTGGTTAAACTACTTTTTGCTTCTTTGATCAGAGTTTAAGAA